AGCTCGTGCAGGTTGAGGGTGTAGACGCCTTCCTCGGCCCCCACCACCAGGAACTGGTCTGCAGGGCGGGCATGGGGTCGGGGTCACTCCCACCCCGGCCACGCTGGGGACTGCCGGGCTCTGGCGCCCTCCCCGCCCCAGGCCTACCACGGGTGACAGGGTGGACCCAGGTGACCGCGGCGTGGATCCGCAGGGGACAGCCATTGAAGACTTTGGAGAAGCAGGCGCCCATCTGGGGAGGCAGAGGCAGAGGCTGCAGAGGGGGGCAGAGGGGGGCGGGGGGGCGGGGCCCACCAGAGCTGTGGGGCCGAAGAAACAAATACTTACGTGCACCTTGGGCGTTGGGGGAAGCCCGTGGCAGGACGATCTCTGGGAGAGAAAGGGAGTCAGGGCCGAGGGATTCCCTGGCCCCCCATTTCCCAGCTCCTCTGGCACCTCCTCACCTCAGGATCCTCCTGGTGTTTCATGGTGGTCCAGGCGGTGGGGAGCTGGGGGGGGCTCTCAGCACCCGGGCCGGGTGGGGGTGGGGCGTCTGCAGACACAGGCAGCCGTGAATCCAGCTCCAGCCCTCCTGCCCCACGCCCTCCCCGGGCCTGGGACTCACCTGGGGGGCTGGCTAGAGGGTCCTCAGTGGGAGGCTCAGCCGAGGACGGCCCCAAGAACGGGGCCCGCTTGATGGTTCCTACACTGTCATCGGGGAAATCCAGCTCCTGGGGGGGTCCAGCCCCACTGTTAGCAGGCCCCCCATTATAAACTCCCCACTGGCCCAGCGTGCTGCCACTCCCTACCTGCAGCGGCAAGGCTGGCCGGATGGTCAGGCTCCTGGGGACACAGCAGAGGGGTGAAGCCTGAGAAAAGGCTGGGCGCGCCCAGCCCTCCAGCCTGCGCCCCGCCGCCCGGCCCCTCACCTTTCTTCGAGGGCCTTCTGGACTGACTGCAGCAGGCTCCTGGCCATGAGGGGAGGGTCAGAAGCCGGCCTCCGCCGCTGCCCGCCCCCCAAGGCTCCCTCTCTCTACTCACCCGCTCAGCTCCTCCTTTCCCAGCAGCGTCCACTCCTCCTCCCACTGTGGGAGCCAAGTCCGAAGGGGGAGAGAGGCAGGGGCCATGTGAGGGCGGCCGGGGGGTGAGGGAGACACCCCAGACAGGCAGAAGGGAAGTGAGTGGTAGCAGGCGGGCGGTGACGAAAGGCAGAGACAATGAGAGGCGAAGAGATTGTGAAAGAGACAGATGGACACATGGCAGAGAGAACGGGAGACAGCAGGAGCCGGGCGCAGCGCTGAGGTGGCGGGAGCGAAGGGAGAGGCGAGTCACCCTCCAGGGCAGCAGAGCAAGGAGGGCGGTGCTGGCCGGAGGCTCTGCCCCTCAGCCAAGGGCCCAGGCCCCAGCATGGCCCCCGCCCACCTGCCACCACCCTTCTGCCGCCCGCCCTCACCGGTTCACTGAGGGGGTCTGTTTCCTTCCTGCGGGGGGCGCCAAATTTCACCTGGTGAACTGGGGGCCAGCAGACAGGCGTCTCAGCCCACGGACACAGCCCCCACGGCCGAGCTCACACACACACACACACACACACACACCCTCCCGGCAAAGGGGGCCTTCCCACCGAGTCCACAGCACACACAGTCCCCCAGCCCCCTAAACGGTCCCCTCAAGCCCACACACAGCTGCCAGCACTCACACTGGATCTCCGAGGGGGTCCTCTCGGCCGGGCCGTGCTGTCCCCGCGAATGGATGGTGTCTGGAAACATGTCGCAGGTCTAGGAGGGAACAAGAGCAGCCTCACCCCACTGCCCTCCAGGGCGCGTGACGCACACCCACGTTCACTTTCGCGACGACTCAGATTTCGCGGAGAGGAGACGGTACTGCACCTGCCGGGAGAACCAGCCCAGAGAGGCAAGTGGCTTGCTGAAGTCCCACCGACAGCAGAGGCCAAGCAGGGGTGCGGTCAGCCTGGGCCAAGAGCAGCAAGCTGGGGGCGGGGGGACGCCAGTGCAGCTCAGGGGAGGGGCCCTGTGGCGAACCCAGCCGGAGAGAAGCTCCCAGAGGGGACGTAGCCGAGATAAAGGGGATCCCACCAGATCACCTTCCCGTTCCCCAATGCCACGCCACGTTGCACCTCCCGCGTTCCCCACTTACCTCCAATTCACAGTCTTCTGGGGAGGGGGTGCCCAGGTGGGGGTCATTGACTTTGTCCAACAGCTGTGTGAGCAGAGCCCGCGGGAGCTGCTGGGTGGTGAATGGGTGCTGGAGGACGGAGGGGACACGTCAGGCCCTGGCCTGCAGGCCCTGCTTGCCAGCGGCCAGAGTCCTACTGCACCCCTCGGCCTCCCACCTGCAGAAGCTTCTCTGCTGTTGGTCTCTTCTTGGGGTTCTTGGTCAAGGCCAGCTTGAGGAAGTGGTGGAAATTCTGGGTCCTGGTGGGCACAAGAGTCCCCCGCCCCAGACCCAGGTGACCTCGGTGCAGGGCATCCTGTCTGCTGCCCTGGAGGAGCCAGCTGGGCCCTAGCCATTTCTACTGCCGCACAACAGTTCCTCCACCCGTCGTCACCCTCCCCGCCCCCCGCCCCCCCTCCCCCCAGTAGTCTAGGTGGGGCCGAGGCTCCTGCCATGTGCAGCCCAGAGGGAGCAGAGCTCTGGAGCCTGGCTCTGGAATGTGGCAGAAGCCTCCTCCCCTCCGTGGGGCCCCAGTAGGGGGACCAGGGCCCTCACCAGCGTGTCTTGTCCCTCAGCTTGGGTGGCTGGAAGCTGCTCTTTGACATGAGCATCAGTGCCCTGGGGAGAGCAAGATGAAGCGTCAAGGGTCAGCAAGGACCTGGGGCCAGGCCAGGGGCTCCTGTTGGGCTGACCTCATGGGATGCAGGTGGAAGAGAGGCGGCTGCAGCTCGCCCAGCTCGATGGCAGTGATGCCCAGTGCCCAGACGTCGCACAGCTCGTTGTAGCCACCCTTGCGCTCCACAGCGGCCACCTCCGGGGCCATCCTAGAGGTCGGGGCACAACTGGATGGCCAGGAGCCCCATGCGGCCCCCACCCCTCAGACTGAGGTGTAGCCTCACCAGTACGGAGTCCCAATGAAAGACTTTCTCTTAGCCACCGATGCCGTCAGCTCGCCTGACACCCCAAAGTCAGCTGTAGGGAGAAAGAGCTACTCTCACTGGCCCCCTCCAGGATGCACCTGCTGGGGCAGACAGCAGGTGGCCCGGGGTTCAGCCTCCCCTGTTGTCGCTGGCCCTAGGCAAGGCCTGCCCCCCCCCCCAGGGGTCAACCCCTTTTGGGCCCTCACCAAGTGTCTGTTGTATTTCCCCGCACACACAACTCCTACGAGCAGGGAGCTTGCTCCCCCCCAAAGGCTCAAGTAGCAGAGTGACTTGCCCAGGGACACCCAGCACCTGGAGGCAGACTGTCTAAACCCCAGGAGTGCCCACAAACCCTCATCCTGACTGTCATCTCGGGTACTGACCCAGCTTGACATCTCCCTGGAGGGTGAGGAGAAGGTTGGCTCCCTGTGGGAACGAAGGAGAGAGAAGTGGGTCTGGTGCCCCCAGGGCCTCCTCCTCCCTCCCGTGCCCAGGCCAACCCCTACCTTGATGTCTCGGTGCATCTTCCCCTGAGAATGTAAGTGGTGCAGCCCCTGGGGACGAAAAGGAGCCCCTGAGGGTTGCAGCCCGGCACAATGATCCCACCTCTCCTGAACCCCCTCCCAGGACTGGGTCCCCCCACCCAAGCCGCTTCCTCCTCCCCTCTCCCCAAACAGGAAGTGACTGAGCCAAGAGGGAAATGGGCTGCTTCCGGCAGCAGGGCAGGGGCCCCTTCCCCCCGGACCCACAGCCCCTCAGACCAGCCCTGCCCAAGGCACCCCACCCAAAACCCCTTCCCCCCGCCCCCCCTGCGGCTGGACTCCTGCCACAGCTCCTAGGGACCGGGACTGTCAGCATCCGTAGGGGCCCGGCTACCTTCAGCGCCTCTCTGCAGACATAGGCAATCTGCCGCTCCTCCAGGGGCCCAGTGGCTGTAGGGAAGGGGTGAAGATTGGCCCGGGGTCTGGGGGATATGCTGACCCTCCCAACCCCCCGGGGGCGCGGGAGAGCAGGCACTGCTGGCTGAAAAGAGTCTTGGCCACGTCTGGGGCACATCCTGGAATAGGGCGCCCAGAGAAGGATAGCATTTCTCTCAAGGTCACACAGCCCATTAGGAGCACAGAGGGAGTGAAGAAGCCCAGGGACCCAGCTCTCCCCTTTTGGCCCTGCGCTGAGGTTGGGGGTGGGGGAAGGCTGTGGCCCTCTGGGGGCCCTCACCGTGGTAAATCTCCTGCAGAGACCCCCCTCCACAGAACTCCATGCAGATCCACAAGCGGTCATTCCTGGGGGAGGGGACGGGGACACAGAGCTGGGGTGTGCATAGGGCAGGGCCACGGCGTGGGGGGGCTGCCTCGAGGGGCAGGGGGGTAAAGCAGCCTCACCTGAGGTAGCTGCCAATGTAGGCCACCACATTGGGGTGCCGACACTCACGCAGGATGGTGATTTCCTGCTGGAGGGAGCTGATGTCGTCCCCTGGGAAGCACAGGGCATCCTGAGCCGCTGCCTTGGGGTCGCCCTAACTCAGTGCCCCCATCTGCAAAATGGGCACAGGGTGCCCCCTTCCTCCGGGCCGGCCGGAGCCAGGCAACGCGCCCTCCCAGGCCGGCCTCTCGGGACCTGGGAAAGGTCAACTCCCCGCCCCTCACGGCGGCCGCGCGCCGGCCGGCGCTCGGCCCTCCCCACCCCCTCCCGCGCGGAGGCCCTGGCCCCGGCCCTCACCTGGGTCTAGCTTGACGATCTTGACCGCGGCCAGCTCGGACGTGGCGGTGTCGCGAGCCTGCGGGGGCGGCGGGGATGGAGCGGGGTGAGGAGGGGGCG